GGGGGGGGGGCAGTGAAACAAACCACCGGGAACCCAGGAGACAGGTGTAATGGCCACTGCCTGCCTGTGGCAAAACTGTTTCAACATAATCTGCTTTGAGGGCTCATTTCATTAGGGAAAGGGGGGAAAAATTGCTAATTTAGGGAAAACGCATGGAGTGGAAACGTGAGTGGAAAGATTACCCTGGGAATTGGTCTGCGATCGCCCGAATTGCACAGCGTGAGCCTCGTTTCTGGCCTGGAACTCGCGCCATAAGCATCCTTGGCTACAACTGACCTTCCAGGCCCCCCGGGAAAGCGACACTCGCCCCACTACTTACATTGCACCTTCCTGCTCGGGTTTTAGCCACACGGCGAAAGTAAAGGACGCCGCCAGCCTCGGAGGCGGCGGAGGAGAGGAGCAGTTCCCGTGACTCCCGAAAAGAAAACTCGTGGAGTTTCGGGGGGCGTTGGGGCGCAGGTCCTGCGCGTCGGCGGCCACGCAGCTCCCCAGGCCTGCTGAGAGGAGGGCGGTGTAGGCTGGGGGTGAGGATCGGTGGGGACAATCCTGGACGCAAAGCCGCCGGCTGCAGGACTGGAGGCTGTGGGCGTCCGCAGAGCTGCCGCAGAAGGAGCTTTGGTCGGGGAGCCCGCACGTCGCCTCGGCCGGCACGACCCCTACGGTCTTGAAGGCGCCCACGTTCTCCAGCCTCGGGAAGAGGCCCCGCGAGTCAGCCGGCGACACGAACGCAAAACAGGCCAGGATCAGCGTCCGGGCGACGCGGAACAAGAAGCCACAGCTCAGAGGGAGAGCCAGGCCGTTCATGGTGACAGAAGAGCATCCTCTCCCCGATGCAGCAGCCCCACCTCGGGCGTCAGGCTGGCGTCCCTCGCCGGCAGCACGGGAACGCGGGGAGCCTTAGGTAGAGGGCATTTTCGGGGAGCTGCAGGCGGGGTTTCGCACCCAGGTAACACCAAGGACGTCCTGGGCCATGGCGGAGACATGGGCGGCAGCTGGTGTCTGGGGATCGGAAACAGAGTGTCAAGTAAAAGCTGCTACATTGTTAAAACTGAAGTTCTTCCCAGTAACAAGGACCCGGAGCCCCTGACACTGAAGTTCTTCCCAGCAACAGGGACCCGGAGCCCCTGACACTGAAGTTCTTCCCAGCAACAGGGACCCGGAGCCCCTGACACTGAAGTTCTTCCCAGTAACAGGGACCCGGAGCCCCTGACACTGAAGTTCTTCCCAGTAACAAGGACCCGGAGCCCCTGACAAGAACCGTTAATAAGCTTCTCAAATTAAAAAAAAACAACCCACACAAACACACACACACACAGAAACATCGGGGAGGACACTGTCTGGGGTAAAATACTCACTCTTTTGGGAAATATCTTCCTTTAGTTGAACATATCAAGCTCTAGAAAGTCCACATCACAACCAGGGTGTCCCGAGAATATATATACACACTGTGACAGCGGATAGCTCAGGTTTGAAAATCGAAATGCATTTTAATAAACACTGCCTTTATAATTATTCAAAGATGTGTACGCATTTGAGGGGGCCGCCCTCTAGATGCATACACATCTTTGAATGTGCACGCACATACATACCTACACACACACGCAGGCAGGCATCTATCTTTATTGATGTATTTCGCCACAGTAAATCCAGGCTGGTACCCTGCCCCCGAGGATCAGGCCTACCTGCTTCCCAGGTAAAGCGCACACACCGCCTCACAACACAGGGCCGCCGTGCCGGGCCCCGAATCGGGCTGGCGGAGCACTTTGGGCCTTTCCCCCTTCGCCCGCCCGCCCGGCCTGCGCAGCCACTTTAAGCTCAGGGCAAAGCAGCTTAGAAACCCGACACCATCTGTCTGTCCTGGGCCCGAGTCTTTAGCCAACGTTTATGTTCACGCTTCCTCGGATGGCCACGTTATTGGTAGGTTAAATATGGACCCCCTAATACCGTGTAAGTAATTGTATCGACAAATAAGCTGAGTTACCATTTCTTTATTGCATTTCAACCGGTCCCCTCGGGGTGACAAATGGCTCTTCCCCGAACCGCGGTCCCTCGTTGCCTGGCAACGCTGCAGTGACCCCTGGTTACTCGAGAGCAAAAAGGCTGCATCCGCATAAAGGCTGCGAGGAAAGGCTTGGGCTGCCCCAGGATGGGCACACCCTCGGTTACCTGAAACTCGGAGCCGTCAGCCTGGTGGCCCGCCTGGAACTGAGCTCCCCAAGCCCGCAGCAGGTGCCTCGGGCGGTAGGAGGGGCCGGAGGGGCCGGGCGTGCATAATTTTAAAGTAGCAGTAACACCTTCTCCTCTAATCCCTTTGCCCCTCTCGGGCACCTCCATCCATGTAATCATATCATCCAAAAGATCCGCCGCTATTAGTAACGCAACACATCACGTCCAGGGCTCCCTCTCTTTTCTGGGGTACAAAGAGATTGACCAGCTAGAGGCTTGGTCCATGCAAAAAAAGTTCATTCTGACTATTGAGTTACTGCATTCTTTAGCCCAGACACCCTCGGCTACACACACCGGTTTCTCGAGGTTACAGGAGCATCAGATGTCATCTAAAAAGGCTGCATTTGGACCATCAGGGGTTTTAGTGACACTACAGGAGCAACAGGATTGCTGACTTCGGGATGTGAACGTGTGTATTTATGAATGAAGCTTGACGTCCGTTCTGCGCAGTTTCTGTTACATCCAAACTCCCTCCTTCCTACCACCTGGGGTCTCTCATCGTAGATGGGAAATATCCTAAAGCAGCTAACCACGTCTCTCCGTTTTTATCTCAAAAATAGAAAACTCATTTGAGGCGGGGGGGAAAAATAAAATTGGCCAAGTGTGGTTTACTTTTCTGGAAGTTACGCCATTTAGAGAAATGCTTAGAAATGGCAGAGATGTTTGTACGGCGTCTCCCGTTAGCCAGCCAGCAGGAGACAAAGCCTAAGTGGCTTCTCTCAGCAGTTTCTCTCGTTTCTCTCCTGCGAGGGCTCTGAAAACCACGGCCCTTTTACAGGTCAGCCTAATCCATCAGCACGAGGCGCCTCCGGAGAAAATCTTCACCGTTTTTTGTCAAAATATGCTGTTCTCTGCTGGCCGATTATTACAGTCTCGCAAGGGCGGGTTTTTACATGAAAGACAGACTTTAGCAGAAAACCGGCTACTGTGTAATTACATGTGGACTAGGGGTGTTCTGAGAATTTGGGGAAACGGGTTTGGAAATAGACGCACAGGACAGGAAGACCTAGGCGGACGGATTATGCGAACCTGCTGCTAAGTAGGAGCCGACGTTTGTCTCCGCACAAGGGACGCAGGGGCTGGCCCCTCCTTGCCCCTGGCAAATCCAAGGCCTACCGTGCGTCTTTAGCGGCGGTGCCTCGGTGCAGCTCCTGGGCCTCTGTCCTGGAGAGGGGAATTCTCCTCCCACGTCAGGACTCCAGCTTTGTCACCAGAAGTCACGACTCAGAACAGACACCCGAGGATTAGCCACTCGGCTCCGTTTCGGAAACGCTGCCTGTTAATTTGCAAAGGCGGCCGGCGGACGGATGTCTCCCTTCCACGTCTGCCCTCGGGACTATCACTCCTGAGGACGCCCCTGGTGACTGGATTGGGCACCGAGAGTCCCGCCGCCCCAAACGGTGCCTGGGGAATGAGGACAGGTCAATAAAGTAAAAGTGTACAGGAGGAAATTTTAGTTAAACAGATGTGGCCTTGCGCTTTTCCCCCCGAGTATCTCTGTGCATTCGCCCTACACTAAAGCTGAAGCAGCCGGAGGTTTTTTGGGGACGTGGTGGGTGTGGAACTGTGCCTGAGAGTCGACGGGGTGGACGGACAGAGAACGTGAGCATTTCAAAGTGACAGGAACAGCCGAGTGAAGACAACCAACGAGTTTGGAAGACGCCTGCCCGGCATATACGGGACACGCATCTCCTGGAGAAATATGTAGACAGATACCATTCACCCCTCTAAAATAAGTTTGCTATTTTTTTTTCCTGAAAATGCTCAAAGCGTTAGCAAGGGTGTGATTATAGTAACTTTCAGGAGCCTCCGTGTTGGACTCGAGAGCTAAGGCCCAGCCGTTACCATTCGCTCGCTGCCTTGATCACAATCCTGGGACATGTGCTCTCAGAGCGTCTTAAATTATGCAGACGCTCAAAGCATCGTGTTTGTTTGAGGCATAAAAGCTTCGCATTGGTATTTCGGGTGACACTGGGACACCGGGAGAAGGTGACACCGTGGACAGCATGTGGCAGGCCGCCCGGTTCCCGTCCGTTCTTTCTCTGGAGTCTGGGCAGGGGCCCAGACGCAGCCGGCAGGTGAATTCAAGAGGGGTTTTCTAGGTCCCAGCCGGGCGGGGACACAACAGCTGGGAAGCACAGTGGGACAGGGAGGGCAGGCACCGTCACGGGTGACGGGCGGGACCGATGGGTGGGTGCGGGTCTGAAAAGGAAAATGAAAATGCCGGCGGGTGTGGGAGGGCAGCAGGCAAGCAGAGCACAGACCTCGGCTCCGGCCGGGCCATCGGGGACCATTAAGGGTCAAGTTTCTTCCCAAAGGGCTGTGCTCCCCTCTCACTAAGCGGGGGAGCCTCGGACCGGCGGCCCGAAAGCCACGGGTGCGGGTTACAAAGCGTTTTTGAGAAAAAAGTGCCTTCTGGTTGGAAGGAGGAGCCGTGAAGACAGCGAGGCAGGTGCACGTGGTTTCAGAAACTCAGTCCCGTTGAACCTAAAACAGCCCCACGGAGTGAAAAACCAAGCGTGTGCTGCATTTAGAGGGACACGGGTGTAAAAACCACAATGCCGAGAAACTGTTTTGCTTAGGGGGAAAAAGCAAACTGCCCTTCAGGGTGTTTGTTTTTTAACAGAAGAAAAATACGGAATATGTTATAGCAGTAAACTCTGCCATTCTCTGTAAGGTCTCTGTAATTCTCCATGTAATTTATTTATGCGGTTTATTAATACAATTTTTAGGTTCACACGCCGAAGGCTTTACAAAGAAAAAAGAATTAGAAAAGAGTGATCAGGGTAATAAAATTTGAACAGAATACATTAGCAGAGCAGCTTCTAAAACACACAGAAACGCGATCACGATCGGTGTAACTAAAACGGTTTGAGAAATAAGAGATTTGACTTGGAAGCTGCACATGAGGGAAGGTCCACGACGCTCGATTCTGACGGGACAAATGATTGCTCCTGCTGGAACCAGAGCCCAGGTCTCCTGATGGCAACGCCGGCGAGATTTCTACCTCCCTCCACGCCCACGGACGTGCCCGGCAACTGTGTAAAAATGAAATCGTCACGGAGGGACAGGAGCCTGTGAGCAGGCCTCTGAAATAGCCGAGATACTGATGGTAACGTTGAGAGCACCCTGTGTGTCAGTCACCCTGCTGCAAACAGTGTCTCATGTAACCCATATACAAAAATCAAGCGATAATCACTCTTCCACTGCTTTAGATATCAGGATGCTGAGCCCTGGATACTAACGCATGTCTTAAAGGCTCACAAATTAATATTTGGGAACAAAAGCAAGATTCGAATCTAGCTCGCTCTACATCTTTACCACGATGCCACATTACCCCTAAAAGCAACAATCTCAGAGAACGTTCTAGCGTTCGACATTTTCCTATAGTCTAGATGTATCCCTTAAGGTAATTTAAAAACATGTTTTTATTGATTTTTAGAGACAGGAAAGGAGAGAAAGAGAGAGAGAGAGAGAAACATCGATGTGAGAGAGAAACATCAATCCGTTGCCTCCTGCATGCCCCCTATAGGGAATCGAGCCCGAAACCCAGGCATGTGCCCTGACCGGGAATCGAA